AGCATGTCTGGTATTTTAGAGTAGCTGAATTTAGCATAGCTCTTTGGGCATATATTATGCATGCAGTAGCCCCAGCCTCACTTTACAGTTCAGAAATTGGTGCTTCTTTTCCATGCATCATCAAATGAAAACATGTGATTTCTCCCTCTATTTCTTTCTCTCATGACACACAGACATAGGATAGCAGTGGGCAGAAATACTAGAATACTGTGGGTGTTTGTATAAAGACTATGTCCTTGCTCCAATCTGGCACCCTTTGGATGTGCTGGGCATGCAATAATCAGAATTTCCAGTTAGCATTTCCAGTTGTTATGGTACTTGGGAATTCTAGAATTACAATCCCCAGCTACTCACAAGATGGTAGAATGGAGAAGACCTATGTATAATGAAACGTTATGTATCATAATAATAGTAATACAAATACTGGATTGTTTTTAAACACTTGAAAGTCCAAATACATTTTAATTTCCTTTTTGTTTATCAGCTAAGATGCAGTTATAAATAGATAACTGCCAACTACACAAGAGAATTAAAGTTAATTCCAATTTTTGATTTTATACAAATAAAATTTGTGAAGTTAATTGATTGACAGAGCACATCTTATTTGCATGTTTATTAAATGGAACATATTCCTAAGTAAATGTGAGTACAAATAATGCATTACTGAATTAACAGATTTTTTTGGATAAAAATTTACAGGAATAATCCATTTAAATTGTAAATTCTTGTTAAATATCATTTTGTTCTCTTTACTTCTTTCTTCCCTATAACAGAGGAACAGCTTTCGCATTTCTTGCAAACATGCTTTTAATTCCACCCCCACAATTCCATCACTTAAAAAAAAATCACTTAAGAATTTCATTATGTACTTAAGTGCCATTAATTTTGCTGGGACTCAAGGACACCTAACTTTCTTGGAATGGCATCCATTGTGTTAATTGTAAATTATTCTACTATAGGTCCATTACATCTGGCAGATAGCTACTCTCAGTGCTCTCTCTTTGACAGAGCAATCCATCTGTCTTGGCAGCCATCAATTTATCATGTTCCATTTTGATAGCTATCTATCCTCTCACTCATCATCTTTATGAGGTTGTCTGACATAAGACTTTCTTGATGCATTAAGAAATAAATGAATGACTGCATGGGCTGGCAAAGTGTAGATGAGAGAATAAATGACAGGTTGGTTTGGTTTTCCCCACTCTGTAGTTTATCACTTGTCCAAATGACATCAAATCAAAATACCATGTTTTAAAAACTCTAACAGTATAGAAAATGATAGTATATCCCATTCTATGATAAACTAGATAGAGGGGCTGTCGTGTGCCAAAAAACAGTTTGGAAGGAGTATGCTTTGGACTTTACCCAAGCATGTGACCTCTCTGCTTATATGGCATGTATTTTTTTCAGCCTTTTATATGAACTTGAAAAAAGATGAGGCAGCTTTAATGAATGGAATTAAAAAGCCCATTCTTAATGCAATGCTTATGGAAGCCTAAAAGCAGATGTATGATTGCCTTGATGCTGTGCTTTTTTCTGCATAAAGTCAAAGCAGATCTTATGAATTATTTTTTTTTTTAGTACAGCCCTACTGAATAGTACAAAATGATTTATGACAGTAAATAATCTATATCAATGCCCATCTTACTCCCATGCATACTAAAAATGTTTGAGATCTCTGGTTTTCTTTAGATTGTGCTTCTCTTGTGTGATTGTCTTTTAACAAAGCAACATCATCAACTTATCTTCACCATCATCATCACCACCATCACCACTGACAATGGCAAAAACATCAATTCCAGAACTCTTAAGACAGTAGACATGTAATTATCTTTCAGCATGCTTATCTCAGGCTTAGGAAATAAAGAAACAAAAAAGCAAACAAAAAAGTAAAACTATAGAGAGGGGGAAAAAACTACAAAACAACAGCAGATTTTCAGGCAAATGAGCTTCATCACAGCATTGGTCATGCACTGGTTTAACAAAAGCAAAGTCACTGTTGTCTTTAGTGTTAAAGGGACTTTATCTTTTTGAGATTAGCAAGAAAAAATTATCCACTTTTTAGAGTAAATATGTTTTCATTTTAAAAATCTATTCTCATAAACACAGATCACATTAATGAGTAAACAATCACTGTTTACTATTCTGCCACCTGAATTATAAAACATAGTGCTAGCAGAATGGTTTAAGTCATTTGTATACCCATCAAACTAAATACAATTTAGCAACCAAATGTGACTATTTACCCTGGAGGTTATTAACTCCCTGGTTAAGGTGTTCAGCTAGAAACTGGGACACGATGAGTTCTAGTCCGGCTTAGATACAAAGTCAGTTGGGTAACCTTGGGCCAGTCACTTTCTTTCAGCCCTAGGAAGGAGGCAATGGCAAACCATTTTTGAAAAACCTTGCCAAGAAATCAACAAGAACTTGTCCTTGCAGTCTCCAAGAATCAGACTTGATTGAACAGAAGAATATAGGACAGTCTTGTTTTCAGTTTAGGATTGAAAGTAGCATTTATAATTATGCTCTAATCTAAGTTTCTCACCCAGGCCAACTGGTGGTATGTTTTTGATTTTCCTATGGTCTTAACTAGCAATACCATTCATGTTTGGTAATCTATCAGCAATTTAAAATTTCCTAAAATGGGACAAATTTGTTTAGGGACACAATCTGAACAGTTTGAAATGCATTCACAATGATTCAGTCTATTCCTCTTTATTTGTTTTGGTAAATTTCTTTAAACCATTTATCCTCTGCCATGGTTCCTTTATTTTTCCTTATCTTTCTCTTATTTTTGCATTTAAAGGGCTGCTGCTCCTTTAACACATTTTATCATCTTTCTCATATTTAGAGATTAATATATACAATATGTATGTATTGTTATTTTTATGCTTAGACAACCATTAAAAAAGTTAACTTATCAGCAGGGAAATAAACAACATGTTTACTCAATGTATGCTCATGAAATCAAAAGCAAATCTGAAATTAAAATCTGAAAACAAATCTGAAATTCAAAACAAATTCTTAAAAACCCCATCTGGTTGCCACCCAATTCTTTTTTTCTAGCAGAGACACTTTAAAAATGTAAGCAAAAGTTGATCCAGGATTTCCTAAATTATAAAACTGGATCTGATATGTTCTATTTTATATCATACCCAAGCTGGGGAAAAAGAATCAGCTTTCTAACATAGCATGTGATACTTAAACAAAATTTTCCTTTAACAAAATAAGAATATCTTATTCAAAAGAGCCAGATTCAAAAAGGCTGATGACAGAAACTATGTGAATTATGAAATATGTGAAGTTCATCTTCAGGGATCTCCAACCTTGGCAACTTTGAGACTTGTGGATTTTAATTCCCAGAATTCCTCAGCCAGCCATACTGGCAGAGGAAATCTGGGAAGTGAAGTCCACAAGTTTTAAAGTTGCCAAGTTTGGAGACCCCCGTTTAACTGATTGGTACGATTATCTGGAGGTCATTTGTCAACATGAGAACATTGCAAAATGTCAGGGACAACTTTCAGTATGGTAACCTATAAACAAATGTATATAGAGGTAAAAATATCTGTGTACAAAAATTATCTATTGACAGACTCTGTTGGTTGAAAGCACTATTAAGTTAACTGAAATGGGATAGTTGGACTTAAAAATGGTTAACTTCCCCTAGAATACTCTTATTATAAACTGTGTTTATTTTAATGAGGTTTGAACTATCTCCCACGAGAAATATTTCCAATCACCTTTCACTGGGAAATGAGCAGCTGTAGAATTCTCATTAAACCATTGTAATATATTTGTGACCATGTATAAATTGCTTCTTCTGAGGACTATATATTACTTTGGGAAATCAATGGATTTGTGAACTGTTAAACAGAAAAGAAGCATACTTGTCCTACATTTCTAAAATACTTATATAAACTATATAAATAGTTTCAATCCAAAATGTCCACATGGAAAATGATACTCCATAAATATACATATAGATGTATATTTTTTGCAGATGGATTCATCTTGGTGTTTAGATTAAGATATGCATCAAAAGCTCCAGTCCATACAACTTTATTCGGAAGAAATCAGTTGAGTTCAATGAGACTTACCCCTAATAAGTATAAGATATGTGTAGAGTACAACTAAAGATGAGAATAACTAGTCTTAAAATACAAATCTATTTACCTGTGGCTACACGACTAGCATTCTCATTAATGCATCAATACAAAAAATGCATCCGCAGACCCATTCTGTTAATCCAAAGAGGAATCTGTCATTGCCTCATGCAGCAAAATTCCATGGCATGATTTTCTATATTATGTAGAACATTATTTCTCAACTTTGACAACTTTAACATGGCTGGCTAGAGAATTCTGGGAACTGAAATTCATACATTTTAAAGTTGCAAAATTGAAAAACACAATATTAGAGCAAGGTGGATTCTGAAAAATATCCCCCATTTTCTCACTTTTCCCTATAGAGCGTATATGAACATTTAAATGCGATCCCCTGGGATCCAAGGTTTGGACAAATAAATACCCATTTCATTCGTTTCATTAAAATGAAGAGGGAGTCATAACTGTAATGGGATATCTGAAAATTATGTTTGAATAATTAGGTTTCTAAACAGGTTTAAGAGAACTTTGATGATACATAATAGATGTAGATTATATATATTATTTAAAAATAGTTCATGCAGTCTTGTATAGTCATAATACATGTTGTTTCATTTTCCTTTTGGTTTTTTTTAAATGGTGTCTTAGCTTTTGCTTTTTTCTTTGCTTTTTTTATAGTAAACATTGAATTTCGTCCCTTTAACTTGGTTTTAATAGCAATGTATTATAGCATGATTTATCAACATATGGCAGGTGGAAGTTGACAAAAATTATAATGAAAATTAAAAGTCATTTATGCAGCAGGCGATTCAAGTTTAAGAAACATTTATTTGCAGGCTTTAAAAATGAGGGTTTAGAATCAAATGGATTTAAAATGAAAGTTTTAACAATGGTTACCTTTTTCCTGCAGCCATTCCTCTACGGGTCGGTTATATTTGAAGGGGATTTTCTGTTTTACCAATTGGAACGCAGTATCAGTGTTTCCTTTAAAGTTTAAAAAACAGCTTAAAAACAATCTGAAAAGTCAATGAAATTGTTAAAAAATAAAACATCCTAAGTTACTTTGATTTATTCATTTATTTATGAAGGAATTTAAACAAACATGAAGATATGTAGTTAGTCCTCTTTTAAAATGGTAGAGAATAGCACACTCTCATTTCTTGGGATTCTAGAAGAACTTTCCCATGTTCCAAGCATGTCTGTTATGAAGAGTTACCTTTAACACGGAAATCCTTTCAATCTAGCATATCAGTTTTAGGAATCATGCTGGCTCACTTTTCTGCACCTTCATATGCTTTTACATGATACAAGTAGGAATCTGGAATTGTAAGAATGCCCAATTCACTGCCCTCTTCTTGCATTCATAGGAAATGTTTCATGGAGCTAACATAAGTTACAGAATCATAGAATCAAGGGATTGGAGGGACTTGGAGATCTTTGAGTCCGATCTCCTGCCCAATTTTTCTAAGCAACTTTTCTAAACAAATGTCTAGGCAGGCTGTTCTATTCCTTTAAAAAAATCAGGAAATGCCTTCTTATTTTGAGTTCTTTCTGTAAGATCCTCATCAGTGATTCTTGTCCTACACTCAGGCATCATGGGTAATAAATCCACACCGTCTTCCTTTTGACAGGCCTTCAAATATTGGAAGATATCTATAATCCCTCCATTCAGCTTTCTCTTCAGTAGGGTAAACATTCTCCATTCCTTTAACTGTTTTTCATAGGATTAGCCTGCAATACCTTCGCTCGCTATTATTTGTTGTCACAACATTCTTCTTCTATTGAAATGCAAGACTGCACTACTAGTTCTTTTGGCAACTGAAGAAAACTGCTGGCTCAGACTGAAGCTATGGTCTGCTAGGATGTCCAGATTTTTTTTCCACACCTTCTACTGAATCAGGTAATACCTATCCTGACCTGTATAGTTGTTGTTTTCTTTTTCCAGATAAGTGTAGAACCCTACACTATATTAAACTGCATATTTTTTTTAATATAGTCCTATAGTCATATCTTCAAGATCCTTCTGAATTCTGTGCCTGTTTTTTCTGGTGTTAGCAATTCCTCACAACTCCTATCTCTCTCCAAGCTTTATGTTTACCTGCCAATCAGAAAAAGTATCTTTATTATCTTCTCATCCAAGCCATGCCATTCCCTTGGTCTACTAAGTCTCTTTGTAAAATAATACAATTTGACTATCACAATCTATTTTAAACAACTCTTACTGGCTTCTAGTAGTACCTTGTTCCTTTCTAAATGTTTGCAAATTCCACTGCTTGATGATCTTTCTAGGATTTTCCCAGGTATTAACGTCAAACTGATTGGTCTGTAGTTTTCTGATTCTTTTTACTGTTTTCCCTTTTTTAAAGACTATAACAACATCAGTTCTTCTCCAGTTTTCTGGTGCTTCCCATATACTACAGGACATTTCAAAGATTACAATCAAAAATATATTGCTTTGTAACAGACCTCTTCAACTTTATGCCCTTCAGATATGTTGGGAACAATACACTCAGAATTCTCTCAAATGAATTGATATTGTAACCTCCAGAATCTCAACATGAATACTAAAATCTCCAGATAAAATAGGACTACCATTCTCAGAATGGAATTATAGTCCAGTGGATCTAGTGAGTTGTACCTTTGATGAAAGGTAATATGCACCTATACAGTTTCCAGCTTCCCATCACAAACTAGTATAGCTAAGAAACAAAACCTTCATTTTGCTGGGCTCAGATCTCTATCTCAGATCTCTATCTCAAATCTCTATCTCAGTGTTTAATGTTTTGTTTTTGCATGTTTATGCAGTGAAAAATATTATGATATGTGCTGAATGTATAACTTTATAGCAGGGTATATTAGAAGGTGTAGTAGTATTGCTGAAGATGATTGTAACAGCAGAGATGTTTAACTGATGTGACTTATTTTTCTCTATGCTTTCCTATATAAAATAGCTTGTTTTCAGAAGGCTGTGCATAGTATGGCTAGTTAAAGCTTTAGCTTTTCCAAAAACAAACAGGTCTCTATATCTTCCCTCACCCACCCCTTAATTGATCATGTCCTCTACAGTTTAGCTTAGGAATGCTGTATCTCCCCTTTAGAATTGCTTTGCCAAGACCAGACACATGGAAGGTCAGCTAGGATGAATAGGCTGGTTCTATCTCACATAAATTATATGTGATAGCTATTAGGCAAGAAATACAAACAACACATACAACATAGCCCAACATCTCTAGAAAGGAGGATAGATAGATATAAACCAAGGACAATATCTTAATTGAAATGTCCTTGGCAATTATTCAAATGTTTCAGGTTCATTCAAACTGCTGACAAGTTGTATCACTGAGCCATCTCTTGGTGCTGTGTTATTTATATCTCCTATATTTTGTAAAAGTATAAAATATGACAAATGCTCTAGGTATTTTGAGCCTCAGTATATACCTATTCAGGAAAAACATTTTACACTAGCTGCAACAATCTGGGGAATTCTCTACAGCTCCCTTTCATGAAGATGAAGGCCTCCCAGCTATCGAGAGGATATGAAATTATGTACTGTATTTACAGTCCTTTATTGAACATTGTCATGTCTTTTTAATTGCCTTGTATATAGATATTTTTCTATGTATTTTTTGCTTTGCTGTCAAAGTCATTCTGAAGCTGTGCTTAATACATTCTTCAATTTTTTCTCTTAGTTTTCTGCTTCCACATTCACCTTTAGCAAAACCAAAAGGTTTGGGAGTACCAGTGAAATACTTGCTGAATATGAGCAAGCGATGTGATGCAACATTTCAAATGGGTAATGAGAACCTGTATTACATTAATAAAACGGGTCTAGCTTATACGAGGTAACAGTTCCAATTATACTGTGGCTGGTTAGACTGCACTTCAAATACAGCATCTGAACGTTGAACTTAAAAGTGACACAGAGAAGTTCAAGCAGGTTCAAAGGATTTCTACTCGTATAATAAGGGTTTTAGAAACTTCATCCTAAGATAAATGGTTAAATAATTGGACATACTGTATTTAGTCTGCAAAGAAGGAGACTATGGGGAGATATAAGAGTTGTTTACAGATATCTAAAAAGACATCATGTGCATGACAGAGTGCTCCTGTTCTTTGTTGAATCCAAGGGCAGGACAAGAGCAGACTAGTTACAATCAAAAGGAAGGAAATTGGGGCTGAATATTAGGAAGGATTTCCTGGTGGTAAGAGCTATCAAGCAAAAGAACACTGATTAGAACAGAGGTGAATTACCTCTTCTTGGAAGCTTTCATATTGACGCTGAAGGGTCATCTGTCAAGGATGGTTTAGTATGAACAAGAGCTTTAAGAACACGACCAATAAGAGCTCTTCCAGCTCATACATTCTATTATTCTATAAAACAAAGAAGAAGATGGCATCCCTCCGTGTAAAGAAGCCAATTGCTGCAACTAAACTTGCTGTATTTGTTAACCTCTATTACTTTGGATGGTTGTTTTATTCTGGCTAACTATTGGGTGGTCCTGCAAATCCTAAGATTAACTATAACTTAGAAATCCGTGATAAAAAACAAGCTACTAGAAGATGAAGAAAGAAAGTCCTGAATGGAAAGAAATATAACAGAACAATGAACAAGTAATGTACAATCATATTAACATTACTTAGATTTAATTAAATTAAACTTTGCACAGCAAGCAATATGTCTTCTTCAAATCCAGGAAATGAATTGCTAATCTCTACCATCTCTTTCAAAATGTTGATTTTAAATTTAAGTTTATATCTTTATTATAATAGTCATTTTATTTATACACAGCAAGATAGGGGGGAAACTGAAGGACCTCTGGAAATTCAACAAACTTTAAATTGTAACATTAGAATCTTTTCATATTCCTTTTTATTTATTTATTTTTTCATTTATGTCAACCATTCACAAAACTGTAAAAACATGTGCATGAGAATGTATTCATCTTTATATTTCATGGACAAGAGTGGATTAAAGGACATGTTGCTTACAATTACACACATGCAATATAAAGTGAAAAAAGGACTATAATTACAAAATTACAAAAATCAAATTCATCAAACTATATTGTTTTTAGGAGGCAGCTTAGATTAAAATAACATAGACCTGATCAGGAACCAATAATGTTTTTACTTTACACAAAACAATATAATTATAATTTATAAATTCATTGGATAGTTAACCTGGAAACTTAAGAAAAAGAAATTCATAATACTGGCCCAAAAATTCCATGAACAACACTAAAAATAAGCATTCAGTTATTTATATTTTATATTTCATAATCTGATTCTTAGCAGAGAAAAGATAAATGCTACACTTTTCATTTTTTACTTTTGCAACCTATGGCCAAAGATACTATTAGTGGCTTTTTCCATTTGGTAATGCAAATTTGAGCATTGTAATTGCTTATTTTCAAAATCTTATTGTATCTGCTTATATTATCAGTGCAAAATTACAGAAAAATAGAAATAATAAAAAAGAAAGAATCACTCAAGAGGATTTTTTTTGGAAAATCACTTTGACAACTTTAATGCTTCTAAAAAAGGAAGTTACACATATATAACTATGCATTGTGTGTGAGAGAAAAAATCCTAACCAAATGGCATTTTATAAGGATAAACAATAAGTGTTACTTCCTTTCTTCCATTCTATAAAACTACACAAAAGAAACAGAGCTTACACACACACACACACACACACACACACACACATTTCCTGGTTAATTTAAATATGTAAGTTTGCCTTATGGTTCTTACTGATGTGTTGCTTCATTTATCTCATTAAATATTTCACAAACAAGATAGACTTCATTATACAAACAACAAATTGCTTTTTTCCTAATTTTTCCCTTAAAATTCAGGCAAATTTCCATCCAAATAAAAGTTGTTCCATTAAATCCATTCCTAAAACAAAAAAGAATTTCTAAACAACAAAAATAAAAGAGCAGTTTGGATAATGTCAAATTTTCCCCTTGATGGACATATGC